TGTGTGTGTGTGTGTGTGTGTGTGTGTGTGTGTGTGTGTGTGTGTATGTGAGCATGAGTATTTGCTTTTGTGTGAGTGTGGGTTGGTGGGAATGCATGTATGTGGCCACCTACTCATTGCTAGATCTAGATCGTGAAGACCACGTATCCTGACGTAACATGAAATCGAAGTCTCTCACAATAAGTCCTCTGGTACATTATACGTTCACAATCAGTATACTGGTATATTATTCGTTTACAATCTGTTCCCTAGTATATTACTGGTCTACGTTTACAATCTCACAGTCAGTCTCAATCAGACACGAGTTTAACGCCCTTATAAACACTATAAGATCAACAAAGAACCCAGAACTTTAAGTTTCATGTCCGCTGCCGTCATGACCTAGTCTATAGAGGAAAGGGCCGTAAAAGCTCGGCAAAGAACCATAATCTGGAACGACCCACTGCGGATTTGAACCAGAGTCATCCACGCCGCAATACAGGTTGATACCAACTGAGCAAACCAAATCGTGCACCCTCAAGCTGTTTCTGACGGTGTCTTCGATCAGACACGAAGTAAATACTGGCGTACCAAAGTCAGTGGGAACTGGGCCTAGACCGTATCCTCGGCCTAGACTTAGAATGACTTGCAATTTAGTGTGCATGTGTGTGTGTGTGTGTGTGTGTGTGTGTGTGTGTTAGTGTATGTTTGTATATGTGTATGTGTGTTAGTGTGTGTGTTAGTGTGAGTGTGTGAGCGTATGTGTGTACGTGTATGTGTGTGTGCGTGTGGGGGGAGGGGGGTGGATGTGTATGTGTGTTAATAAGTGTGTTTGCATTAGCGTGTGTGTGCATGTTTGTGTGTGTGCATGTGTATGTGTGTGTGAGTGTGTTTTTGTGTATATGTGTGTGGGTGGGTTTGTGTGTGTGCATGTTTGTATGTGTGTGTGTCTTTGTGTGTGTATATGGGTGTGTTTGTGTGTGTATTTGTGTGTGTTTGTGTGTATGTGTGTGTATGTGTATGTGTGTGTGTGCAGTTCTAC